GTAGTGAATGTCGGATTGGATCCGCGTAAGGCACGATTCAATCCTTAATGAATACTGTGTCACATCTTCAGAAGGCAACTGTTTACAATTTTGTAGGTCTACAAGTAAGTGCGTTGAATGTTTTTTCTCTCCGAATGTTGACTTAAGAAATTGTTTTAATTCAGGCCAACTACTGAATTTCTTTAAGCAACAAGCTAATTGTGCTTTTCCTTCAAGTTGGGACACAATATATTTAAACAAAACATTCTGTTGGTCTGTACTTGCCAATGAAATTGCATTTTCGCAATTCGTAAGGAATGCTGGCAAAGACTCGCGATCTCCATTGTAGGGCTTAACGAATTTGATAAGGACTGAAAGGGTGATTTTTTCGGACATTTTTAATTTAATATTTTTTCGTGTTGGATTTGAAACCGACAGTGAACTATCTGAGGAGTCAGAGTTCGAAATTTTAACTTCTTCAGGTTTTACCTTTTTTAGAGAACATTAATTAATAGGTAATATTTTTAAAATACAGTACAGATCATCAGAACACAACAAAATATGTTAAACAAATAAATATTAAAATACAATGGCTTAATGTTAAAATCAATCTTTTATAATTAATTACTTTTTAGATTAAATCACTTTCACTTGTTTCACTTTAATTAATAACTTTAGAAAATTTTAATTTTATATTATAAAAATTACTCACAAAATGTAGATTCTCACGAACATCTTGGTTTTCAAAACGTGTCAGTTAATTCGACACTGCAGCGATGACGTCAATTCCAGCGGTGGCTTCAGTACCTGGGCGTTTTCCAAAAAAGTTGTACCTTGAAAAAAGTCAGTGTCCGGCCACTTTCAGAATAAATTATCAAATATTATAAAAGTTTTTATTACATATCATTTATTTTAATAATAAAGTAACATATAGTCTCATAAATCAAATAAAAATAAGGTCTGAATCTGTTATAAATCAAAAATAAAATCAAAATAAGTAAAATGGGGTCGATGTTTTTGGTATGTCCCACATCTACTGTGTCAACTTCAGAGTCACATAATACGGTCGTGTTATATTATTATTCAAACTTTTTGCATTTGACTGGTCATTTATGAACGTAACTTCAATTTTAAACCTGAAATGTACATGTTACGGTTGAAAATTATTTTAAAATACCAGATTTTGTGTTGTCCTGCAAAATCGCGTATGATGGAATTTCCGCGTACGTGACCGCATTTTCAACGACTTCCAACAAAAAATACCACCAATTCAATACATTTTCCCAAATATAGCAACATTATTAGTCTATGGTGGCTGCTGTATTTAATTTTTGACAGCCAGTTCGCCAACAAAACGTAATCGAAGTGGTCGTCTCGACTCATGTAAAAAAAATAATTCCACAAACGATACTGCTTTTCTCCAGGTAACGTATTCATGTGTATTTCATTCTATTTTCTATTAAACATGTTAATTTATTGTTATTTGAAATGTTAAGTTATATTGAACAAAAGTTTGATAACTAATTAGTAAATTCATTTGAAAATTTTATTGGCATGGTTACGTTACCTCCATTAGCGCTACTATCGCATGAATGGAACTCAAAAGTGACGTAATGGAATCCTAAAGGTCGGTTCATAAAGTCATTGTTTTAATTAGTGTTCTAAAGTCTAAATAAATTAAGTATGATTAAAATAATAATAAAATGCCTTGAATTTTTTAAATGAATTGCTTATTACTTAATTTCGTGTGTAAATCAAACAAGATTTTTCGACTAGATATTTCAGCTCAAAACACTCCATTCAGGATAACATTAGAAAAATAACAGTGAAATAACGATAGTTATTACGTTATATTGTTGAAATGGCTGCATTTAGTGTTTAATTTTAATGGTATCCTGAATGAAAATTTTTTGTTTTTGCGTGAAAATATATTTGATAAACAGTTATCACATTTATTTTGACAAATATTTCACGCAACGCTTTTTGTAAATCTATATAAATTTTTTCACAAAAATTTGAGATTTTTCGTACGGGGTACATTATGATAACTCACTATTGATTTTAGGTTTAAATATGCCCTTGACGGTTGCAGAAAAGTCAAAACGGTACCGAGAAAAAAATCAAACAAAACCCGGAAAAATATGAAGAATTTAAGAAGAAGGAATTACGAAGACAAAAAAAGCACCAAAAGAGGATTAAAAAGCTCACTGAGGACGAGAAAATGGAAAAAAGAAAACTCTGGAGAGAACAAAAACGAAAACAAAAACACTCAACCGAATCCACAATCAGGGCAATCACGTGACGCATCCAATAATTCAGCTCCACATTCATTGAAAATTAGGTACTGAAAATTGTTAAATAACTACAAAAAAGGCTTTCAAGACGATTCGTCAATATAATACAACAACACAGACTCTGAGAAAGAAATTACGCCGAATGAAAAAAAAAACATGAAACCGAATTTGATTTATTGAACACAGAAAACGATAAATTGAAAGCAAGACAAGAAATAATGGAAATATCAATTCGTAGTACGTACAGGAATTGTAAGAAAAATAAAGAAAAACAATTAGTTAAAAACGTGATTAGGAAACAGGCGCATATATTGTAAAAAGCACCTGAAAGTAAGATTTTAGGTCTTAAAGAAAGAATCAGGAAAAGGATTAATTTACAACGACCAATAAATAAGAAGACTCAGGAAGAAATAGAACTTTTTTATTTGAGAGACTACATAAGTAAAAGCACAGCTGGTAAGAAGGAAACCAGGTCCAAAGACAAACAAAAAGCACAAATAAGATACTTAGTCGACACACTGAAAAACGTATACGAAATTTATAAAAAAGACGGTGGGTCATGCGGCTTCACCACCTTTTACAGATACAAGCCTTATTATGTACTGTCTCCAAGTATCAATAATAGAGAAACCTGCTTATGTATTAAGCACAGTAACTTTGAGTACATGTTTAATGCATTGAAGTGTAAAGATGTCATAACTTACAAGAATATAAAGGAGCTCTTGAACATCGTTGCATGTGATATTACGCGTTATGACTGCATGTACAATAAATGTAAAGATTGTAAGAGTATTTCATATGATGAACAAAACCTCGATTCTGCTATATCATGGTTCAAATGGGCTAGGGTAAACCATGAATATGAAATATCTGGCAAAGTATATACAACTAAAAAGACCACCAAACAACAAGTAAAAGGAACTGTACTTTCATCACCAACTTTCAGAACGAGCTACCGGCGTTTAAAACTCATTTCTTTTGGATTGAACAACAACGTCAATACAGAAATTGTATCAAGAACATGTAAGATGACGAGATACTCATTTTATGCGACTTTTCAGAGAATTTTGAATGTAAATATAGTGAAGAAGTCCAATCAATGCACTTTGGTGCCTCCAAAAACACGATCACTTTACATTGTGATGTAATTTTTTGGAAAAATCTATCCCAATCATTCGTATCTGTTTCAGATAACAATTGCCATGAGCCTTTTGTTATACAAAGAATGGTAAAATGTAATGCATGTAAAAATTGGGTTTGCCTGATATGTAGCGGAACAACCTTTTCAACCTTTGTTCGATTTGTCTTGGGACTGATGAATAGTTTTTTGTTACAGTTTAAGACCGTTTACAACGTACGGCATTTCATACAAACTTTCAAGTCTTTATATTTCGAAATAAATGAACCGATTTTAATGAAACTTCCTATGCATAAGCAGGATATATAGGTCCAAAAAGTTAATGAGAACTATTTCGAAAAATAATGTTACAGCTAGATTCAGCTGATTTTAAATTTTCCATAGAAACAGATATTTCCAATTATCTTGTTTTAAATAAGACATTTCAAAAATGTTCTTTACTAACTTTTTAGAACTATGTGTCCTGCTTATGCGTGTGAAGTTTCATTAAAATCGGTACATGCATTTCGAAAACAAGGACTTGAAAGTTTGTATGAAATGCCGTACGTTTTAAACGCTCTTAAATGACATACTAGTAATATTATGTTTAATACGATAAGTACAAGTTACCATAATTGTTGTCATAATTGAGAGTCATATAGACGTTGCCTTATAGTTCCTAAACGTTATTTTCGAATTACATTAACGTCACTGTCCTATTATTACTGTGATTTATTTTCTAAGACTAATTAATAGATCTCAAAGAAATTTGACTGTTTTTGTTCAATATAGCTTACTATAAATTTTTAATTTGATATAATTAAACTTTTGAAAGAATATTTCTCATATTTGACGTTCTAGGATGAAAAAAATATAGTACAAAGTACCCAAAAGTAGCGTAAGGAATATCTTTGTTAAAACATTTTTTGATTAGATCTAATATGCTGAATTATCAATATTTTTTAGAAAACAGATTGTGTTTATTTTTCATAAATAAAGTTAAAAATACTGAACTTCTTTTAGTTTTCATGAAAACTATTTTAAAATTAGTAACGTAATGGAATTTCTTGAGAACATAATTTAATTAAAATTGTAATTATTTTCAAAATTCATTATTATTTTCTTAAAAAAATACTATTTTCATACTGCTCATACTATATTTTATCAATTTAATTACATTTTGAAGCTAAATGTTAAAACTCATATAAGTGGAATTCTAACTACGTCACCGACAATTTTTTTGAAAAACGCCCACCTATTCGACGACTCAGGAAGTTTTAAATTACGACGCTACCTCGAAGTCACGTTGCGTTGTCCGTGAAGAGATCTTACACGTGGTGATGATGGTGATGATGCAAGGTCTGATGTTGGTGGCGAGTCAAACTGTCCGGTGATCCGATAGTGCACTGGGTTGTGATGCGGGCTCACACTCGAAAGTGGAGACTTATCGTCGACCACGATGGAGCAGCAGGAGTTTCCGAATGATGCGGTGCGGGCTCGCGCTTAATAGCGGAGTCTTATCGTCGACCACAGGTGCAACTGTGCGGGCTTAGATACATGTACCCGAGACTTACCGTCGACAGCTGGCGCCTTACCCAAGGACCGTGGTGATGAACGCTAAGGTTCACGGAGCCAAATAAGTATTAGGCGGGAATTCCTTGTCGCGACGTGCCTAACACCTAGGAATCCCAGTACTTTAATTGCTTTCCCAGGATATCCCACTTCTGACACCAAAATTGTTAGGATGGCTCGCCTGGGGTCCTTTTTAAAAAAAAAGACACCTTTACTGCTGCAAAACTAATTTAATTTAATTTACACTTCGGAATATTATAAACTATAACAAAGTTGTGTACCGAACAGAGGTTAGAGTTTGACTGCTTAAATTATATGAAAAATCACTTTTATATACTTTACATAATGCTTACAACAACAATTACTACCTTGTACATCGGTTCATAACATTACGCATATACTTGAGCAGATTGCTGGTCTCCGTTGAGATGACCGACGTGACCGAATTTTTTTATTGTATTTGTTCAGGTCATCAATTGTGCAAGATATAGGGTTATTAGCGTTAGTACAAATAAAGGTACAGAAGTCAGGACGAGCTTTGAACGTTGGACAATTTTGGTGGGGTTTGTTTGCACAGTCACATTTTTTGGCACCGGGACTATAGTGCTTTTCGCACAACCGTACCGCTTACTACACCAATCCTCTATCATTGATACTATCATTATAACTTTTAACTAAAAGCAAAAACCGATATCAAATTGCTGAAAAGGAAGTTATTGATTTGCAACCCTTGGGGGTGATTTTGCAAATTTATGTGGGACCACCCTTGAAGTATAACCTATTTAAAAAAAAACACAATAAAATCGTTTCTTTATCTGCGAAGATGTAATCTGAAATTCCTTAAACAATAGTCCAATATGAAAAATTTTCCCCTATTTTCTATAATTGGGGGCGGAATTTCTTCTTTAAAAATTAATGGCACCATCCTTGAGGTAATAATGCCTATTTAATAAAAAATATAAAAAGAAATATTTAAATCGGTTCACAGTCTGCGGATCTGCGTAAGCATACATACAATATAAGAACACACACTCGAATTGAGAACCTCGTCCTTTTTGAAGTCGGTTATAAATGCAAATGCACTGTCAGCCCTCTGAGGACTAAGATAGAATGCCACGCTACCGGTAAATGGGATCTCCGGTTCTCTACAGCCATACGAAAAATAGCAGCGTCATCGTGCTACTATTGTACGCTGCTATTCTATGCGAGCTTGGCCCCGATCCGATCAAACCGACCACTGACATTAAAAACTGCAGATTTAATTAATTGCAGCGTGTTATAAATAAAGAGAACAGGACTACACTTTGATAAATAATAACTTTTTTTGCAGTACGCTCACGTGAAAGCGATTGTGGACAGTGCGCCGCCGAGTTACGACGAGAAACGTCCATTCCGCAATTTACCAAAATGGCGGCGACATGCATGGCAACTGGCAACCGACAACACACGTTTATTAATGGCTATAAAAATGACTCATTTCAATCGAGTTAGTAAATTGTTGTAAAAACCGATTAAGACTGAGCTGAAACCGAAAATTTGAAACCATGATTCTATTACATCCAGTACAGTCTACAAATCCATTATAGTGCACTGCTGAACAATGGCCTCCCACATAAATTGCCTCGTGGGAGCATATGGTTAAAACAGGAAATTATATTATCATTAGCTTTTACCATTCCACTGCGTTCAGGTGTGATAAGTCATAGATCCAACAAATTTCAACCTACTTCGCATTTAGCCAGTCGAGACCTCCAGTCTGACCTTGATTTTTCTACTCCAACGAACATCGTTTTTTTTTATAACGGGTGGGCCTTAACAGTATGAGCGTTTTATTTTGTCTATAATTCAAAAATCGTTAAAGGTAGAGGGGCGCGGGGGGTGTCGTTAGACGCACCATTTCGTGGAATTTTTAGTCGCCATCACAGGTCGCCATGGACGCGTTCTCGGGAGCACAGCGTGCGTTCTGTGTTCGCGCGTATTATATCAACAACAATTCTGTGACTGTTGCTAGGCGAATGTACCGCGTTCACTTCTGCTTACATGACATCAGAGAAGCACCATGCGCAAATTCTATTCGGAAATGGGTTAAGATGTTCGAAGAAACCGGGTGTACAGTAAAAATAAATAATGCGGGCCGCCCGAAGTCAATACGGACGCCGGAGATTATTCAACGCGTTCATGAATCGATTAGAGAAAATCCTCGACAGTCGACTCGCAAAAGAAGCCAAATCTTGAACATCAAGAGGACTACTTTGCGCAGGATTTTGCACCGTTATTTGCATTAAAATCGTACAAAATTCTTAAAGACTTAACTTCGCTAATGTTATGCTGGAATGTTTTAACAATTTTTCCAACATAATCTTCTGTGATGAGGTAAACTTTCATGTCAACGGACATGACGGTCTGGAAAAATCGTCGGTGGAAAATAATTCCACAGAGAAGTTGTACGAGGAAGAAAACTCCTAGTAAAACGAGAATGGTATCCTGAATTTCGACGCGATGTGCGTTCGTGAAATTTAGCAGTTGGAACTAATTCGAACAATTCCTCAGAACACTCTGATGAAAGACGCAGCGCCAGTGAATCGAGCCGATCAGAAAGAACTCGGTCATTGACGATTCGAACCGCTCCGCGCTGGATGCGGCCAAGTGGAAGGAGTTGGCACTGGGATGCCCGGCCCAGATATGAGAACAGTATTCCATGTGAGGCCGAACTTGCGATTTGTAAAATTTCAGGAGATGTGCCGGTATGAAATACTGTCTCACTCTGCTGAGCGCGCCAAGCTTTTTAGAGGTCAATTCGGCCTTACCTTCCAAGTGACCACGAAACTGAACATTATTCGATATGTCGACGCCGAGGATTCCAATGCTAGCTGAGGCAGCAAGGGAAATGTCTCGAAACTGAGGAGATACGACAAAGTGGTTGTTTTAGCGGTAAACGCGAGAACTTGTGTCATCTGGGGATTGACTTGGACTAGATTTAGTCGCCTCAAATCCGAGACTTTGTTCAGCAATCTCTCGACTTGACTTTAGACACAAGTTTGTCCCGGTACTCAGCGATGTTTTCCCGAAAAATATTGGCACGGCCGGTGTATAAGGCATCACCAGTGCTGTCGTCTGCATAGCAATCAATCCTACTAGTTCGCAACATATCATTGATATGCAGAAGAAACAGCTATGGTGATAGCACGCAGCCTTGTGGAACACCAGCGTTAATAGGCTTGTAATCGGAGCATGCACCCCCTACTACGACCTTGATGCTACGATCAGCAAGGAAACTGGTGATGCAATCGCACAATTTCCTGAGAAGCCCATAGGAAGGGAGAAGGGAGCTTCGAAAGAAGCGCTTTGTGCCAGACCCGATCGAAGACCTTCGCTATGTCCAAACTAACGGCCAATGCCTTCCCCTTGGGCTCTACTGCCTCCGCCCACCTGTGAGTTAGATAGACCAGAAGATCACCAGCAGATCGACCACAATGAAAACCGTGTTGGCGGTCACTAATCAGCTGGGGATCCTCAAGGTACCTCATGAGTTATATAATGGACTCCATAATTTTGGGGAACAAGGAGGTGATGGCGATAGGCCTGTAGTTGGACGGGTCTGAACGGTCGCCTTTTTTAGGGATTGGGTGAACCAAAGCTGTATTCCATGAATTCGGGACTACGAATGTAGTAGGAGTAGGAGTACCGGAAAAGTTGCGTTAAAACCAGTGCCAACTCTGGAGCACGTCTTCAGCACAATGGAAGAGACTCCATCAGGCCCACTCGATTTGCTGACGTCCAGGGAGAGGAGTGCTTTGCGAACCGAGCGCTGAGTAAACCGCACATCCGGTATGGAGCACTCACACCGCGGGAATCCGCGTAGGCGAAGTGACCACTTGTGTCAGACCGTATGCCAAGGCAAAGTCATAAAAAGAGCTCCCCGCATGATCGGTTAACCGTGAACCGAGCCATTCGGCGTGGTGGGCGTTAAAATTGCCAAGGATCTTTGCGGAGGGGATAGCCATTTGGACGTGATCGATGAGTCGGTCCGTTTCGGCATTACCGCTGCGGGTCCTATAGAGGCACTCGTATACGCGGGGATGGTCGTCGCTGTGTACGCGCAGCCATAGGATGGACTGATCTGTACCTTCAAGACTGCCGAGGCGTCGAAAACAGATGTCCTCACTGACGAATACGCAAACTCCAGACCCAGGCACAAAGGAGTGTTCTAATTTGTACCCCGGGCAAGAGAGATATCAGAGAGAGTATCAGCTGGAGAGGTCACCCACGTCTCCGTTAAAAAGAGCAAGGCCGCCTTCACGGATAGCGTTGCAGGGGCCGCCTAGGTGTTTTTGCTCCGCCCCGAGCAGTATTAGTCGCGAGCGGAATGGCTTCTCTCTCCACCCCCTGAATATGCGGGGCAGCCACGCTCAGGAATAGTAGGATAACTTGGTCGTGGATGCTCAGAGACATCTCTTTCATTCTATAGGTACAGTCATTAAATCGGACAAAAATTTATGGACTCTTAAGGTGGTACATTAATTCGATGCTGCCTGAAGTTATAAAATCGTAAATTGGTATAAATGAATTGGATAATTTTATAAAATATATTTAATTTAAAAAAAATAATTTAAAAAAAGACAATATTCTAATGGCGGATTCGAACCCACAACCTTTGAGTTGGCGGTCTACACTGTCTTCAATATCATATCTCTCACAAACTAAATCGTATAGATTGTATGTTACGTGTGTCTCTTTTTAGTGTCGCCTTTTTCTTTCAACCAGTTTCAAACCACAACGATACGAAAGAAGGTTTCACTTCAAAAATGGTTCCGTTTCATGGCGCTCACCATTTAATACATATCATCATAGACATAGACATAAACATTTTATTAGCATCAATGCACTCGCAAAATATACATTTAGAAGTAAATAAGAACATAATTAAAAATAAGTCTCGGCAAGAGTGAGTGATGTGATGCCAAAAAGGATTCCGTCTCAGCATATGCTATCACAGGTACTGCAGCAGCGCTGATTTTCAGCGGAGCCCTGAATATAATAATTTCGATATTGCGCCCGCGTCGATATTGGTGCTAACATTATATTAAAAAAAAATCATCAGCTGCTATTCCGTGTTTTTAAACATAAAGTTAGCCCCACACTAGGATTTTCTCCTGTATCGTGGAGGCAGCTTACAAACATAAATTGCACAAGGACAAAAATTCAGATCCGGAACAATTACTTGCAGTCTGTATCCCGCACGGCAAATAGTTGCCATACAAAAATTGATGCCGTGGGGGATTGGAACCCGCGGTTCTCACCGCCACAACTCAATACTACTCAGACAGAGCCGTCAATAATTCAAAAAGGTGTTCTGTGAGAACGTGGTCACACCCTGGTTGAGCCGACCCATTCGTGCTACAACCATAATATTGTAGCTGAAGCATGGCTCTAATCTCAACTGCAAAATTAATTAGTTGTATGCTTATGAAAACGTTATAAATACAATTATATTAGGGTAAGGTGGACAGCTATTGGAGGGAAGGTCCTCCAGTCAACAACGTGTATTACGAGAACCGGGCACACTTTTTGAAAGAAGTGCAAAGGGAAAACAAGGCTATCTATACGCGTATTCTTAAAACCGTAAGTAAAATAATTAATTTTCATTTTGCTGTGATATACACACACACACACACACACACACACACACACACACAGACACACGGACACACGGACACACGGACACACGGACACACACGCGCACACGGACACACACGCGCACGCGCGCACGCGCACACGCACGCGCACGCACGCGCACGCGCGCGCACGCACGCACGCACGCACGCACGCACGCACGCACGCACGCACGCACGCACGCACGCACGCACGCACGCACGCACGCACGCACGCACGCACGCACGCACGCACGCACGCACGCACGCACGCACGCACGCACGCACGCACGCACGCACGCACGCACGCACGCACGCACGCACGCACGCACGCACGCACGCACGCACGCACGCACGCACGCACGCACGCACGCACGCACGCACGCACGCACGCACGCACGCACGCACGCACGCACGCACGCACGCACGCACGCACGCACGCACGCACGCACGCACGCACGCACGCACGCACGCACGCACGCACGCACGCACGCACGCACGCACGCACGCACGCACGCACACACACACACACACACACACACACACACACACACACACACACACACACACACATATATATATATATATATTACATGTCACGTTGTTTGTCCGCGATAGTCTAAACTACTTATCCGATTTTAATCAAATTTCCACACCGTGTGCAGTTGAGAGATAGGATAGTTTTTTGCCCATGAGTGACCCACATATTTTTTTTGCGAATTTAAGGATTTTTAATAGAACAACGTCTTCCTGGCAATCTAGTAAAATATAAAACAACAGTATACCTACCTAAAGTCGTATTTAATTTCGGAATGTAAATAGAAATAACAATAAAAATAAATAAATATGTCAAAGTTGGAAATAATAGTGCTACATTTAATATCATAGCTTTATATTATAGCTAAGCAGTAAAGTTAAAATATAATATTAGGTAGATAGATACAATTTTGCACCACAGAATGATTAATAGTAGGTACTATTTTCCCTCAAAACATTATGATACATTAGGGAATTTAATGCCAAAAATGCATTCTCTGCCAGCTAATAACCACCAATATCCCTCAGACGTCCTGCATTTTTATACAAATTTTCATGGCGACTGGTTGATCGGTATAGAAGTTGATGTGCATCAGCGCCATCTAGTGGTGAGTTACAACAAAGTGGATACCATGAGAGTAAAAGCCTTCTCCATAAAAAAATAGATATATGTGCCAATGTTCATGGTGAACGGTCATACTGTCACCGTTACTGCTACAGCTTCTTGAAGTCCACTGCTGAACATAGGCCTACCCCAGAGATTGCCTCATAGGGAGGATATTTGTCATAGATGCCACGCTTGGCAAGCGGGTTGGCAACCGCAGTTTTTACTTTCAGTCGTAATTAGGAAGACGCTACTGCCCATCTTCTGATTTGCTTCCCTCTGTCGCCTCTTTCGATACCCACGGGATGACATGGGGTAGCGGATATTTTCACACCGCCACTAACGCTATTTATTTATTTCGTTTATACTGTGTCGAAGTCTAATTATCTCAAACAGATTTATGTATAATAAGATTATTTATTTATAAAAAAGAATAATTATGCAAGTGAAGATCGTTTGGCGGCATTGTAACAGAATTCATCACGTTACTTCGATCCGTTGGTTTGGTTTGCTTCCAATAAATAGCGGTACAACCATCTGGTTTACGCCAGACGTAAAATACCCAGACTGACGACTTACAATAACGTCACAGGTTATTAAAGTTGGTAACATTTAGACCTCGCCTATACCCGAATGTAACGTGTCGTACTATCGACGATGTTGTGTCTTTCCTAGTTTAGTTGTTGGCAGTAGTGTATTGATCTTCTTGGACTATCATAGAGACCTCAGGTATCACCTACTTCGACGCTGCAACGTGATTGGGAACACAACCGCCGCGAAATACTTATGAAAGCGCGAAATAAGTTCGTCCTCTTTCCTCCAGAGCCTAAAGAGCTAATAGAGGATGCTATTTTCTTGAAACCACCGCAAGTTAAGCGACCAAGGTATGTTATTAAAATTCTTTTTTTATATGGTATAAGGATAACCTACGAGCTCAGTCTACCTGATGTTAAGATCATCTCTGCCCTTTCATGCACGCTTTATTTTTTATAGTGTGTGTCGTCTCTAAATGTTCTTGGATAAAAGTTAGGTACTGTCGTTATTGTCAATTCGAATATGAAACAGTAAATATGATGATAACTTATGGTATGGTCGTAGGTGACAATGTGCCGGTCATATAGCTCGAAGAATCGACAGCCGATGTGGTAGAAACGTAGAATACTATAATACATACATAATACAACGGGGGAGTGGGTGGAGCCCGTGTAGCCACTAAAATGTCACTAACACGTCAATTCACACGTATAAATGTCAACACGAGATGTGTTTTGACGTTACAATCGTTTCCAGATATCCCATGCAAATTATTTAGAAAATGCCAAATTGTACGCTATTTACGAATAAATATATTTAAAATATGTCTGTCAACACGGCGAATCGGGTTTGTAGTAGTGATAATACGACGTTATTGCTTGTATGTGTGCTCCCGGCGATGCTTATCATCGTATAAAATAAGGTTGACAGCTGTCCTATTGTGTATTATAGTATTCTATGGGTAGAAAGATTCTTGACTGGCAGCCTCGTACAGGTATGCGATGTTAGTGTACTGTGGCCTCCACTAGATGGAGTGAAAACCTTAAAGAGATGCAGGAATAAATCGATGGATGCAGGTGGCTCAATGGCAACCCTTGAGAGGGGCCTACATTCAGCAGTGTGGACTTGAAGGACTGTAATTATAATGATTATGGTCCGATGGTATTGTTACGAGCTTGAGGTTCGTGACAATAAAAACTGCCGATTGAATTACCAAAATTTACACTTTAATTTTCTTTACACCAATTAAAACTTAAAACACTAATAATTAATCACACTGATTCACTTTATTGCGTATTGCAGAGCCTTTAATATTCAAGTAAACCGACAGGCGCCGAAAGTTGAGTGTAGGGCTTCTAGAAACCTTAGTTCTTCAATTCGATACTAGATGGCGCTGTTGGTTGAAAGATTAGTCATGTCATTTTCTGGAAAGCTCTTCTCGCTCTGTTACCCGACACTAGATGGCGCTGGCGCCAGACGTCAACTTAGGCGCGCAACAGTATCGATAGTCGTAGCTGCCCAATCAGATAATACAGAAATGTATTTTTAACCGCCTTCAAAAAAGGAGGAGATTCTCAATTCGACGGCATTTTTATGTGTGTTACCTAATATTTTAATAGGTAAACAGATTTTGATGATTTTTATTTGAAAGCTGGTATTTTTCATGTAGTCACATATAAATTTGATCAAGATCTGACCAGTAGTGTTTGACTTTAACTTTTTGAAAGTTTAATTATTTAAATCAGGGTGCTAAATAAATTTTAACTTCTTTATTATTAGAGTATATTTTACCCTCCGTTTTCATGGAGGAGCAACAATCGGCGAACTGAAGGCCGAGCTTTTTGAAGACATCTGTCCTGAAACCTGCCGCCTGTTTCTCAATCTTTTGGACGGCGACGAGTTCGGTTACGGATATGTTGGAACTTGTTTCTTCAGGTGATAGTAATGTCCTCATTAACGATTTTCGACAACAGCGACATCTTCGGAATATTCAGAAAATTATTCCGACGATGTTTTAGTTTTATTCCGTATATGTCCCTGTTGAATATGGTAGTCGTAGTGACGTGGGAAAGCCACGCTGCAGATACATTAGGATTATAGCAAAAATGGGTTGGCTGGACTGTGTTAGGACAATGCTCTCACGGAATACTGGCGTGGAGCAGAAAATAATGCCATGTTTCTTTTGTTAAGGTTGGTAGAGCCATGTTGCAGTTATATTAGTATAGTTGTAGCACGAATGGATCGGCTCGACCCGGGAGGGACCACGCTCTCACAAAATATCAGCGTAAAATACCAGCTTAATGCTGGTGTGTAATTTTGAATGGTGAGTGCACAGAACCGGAGACCCTTTTTACTGGAAACGAGGTATTCCATTTTGGTCCTCTCGGGTGACAGCGAATCTGCATTTTGTTTCGTAATCGAGGATAGATGTAGATGTCTATGGGCCACAGCAATCACTAGCCATCAGTTGGACATATGTGTAATATATGTCCACGGTAGCATTCAAGGATCCGCTTTTTCCGCCACCAGGGCGGCGCCACTGTCGAATGAGATGAAATATTTGACATTATTTTAGACCACGTGAGTAGTTGAGGTATGGAGTGTAGAAGTAAGGAGTACCAGCTCCCATAGTAGAATAGTTGAAAAAGTGGTCATCTGTAGGCAGTAAATAACAGTTCAAAATCTCTCCACAACAGTGCTGGAGTAGCTACTGGGATGAAATGAACTTAGCAGTTGTCGACGGTTTAAGTGTGCTGCTAAACTGCTCAGTAGCTCTAAAATCTAAAATAATTTTATGTAGTGAATATAACCTAGAAAAATTCGTCTATCCCACTAATATTTTTCGGTGCGTTCTTTAAAGTATACCCCGTACTTATAGTGGCGCCACCCTTATTTAACGGTTTACTATGGACACTTTTTAGTACACAATATGCACTCCTTACTGTCCGTGTCAGGCAGACGAGTATGTATTTACAGAATTATAATCATCAATACAACTCTCTAAGTTCGTATAATTCCATTGTATGGCTATTTGCAGAAAAACTCATTCAAAAGAGCTATATGAATTATGAACTTAGAGGGTTGCATTGGTGATTTTAATGATAATAATTCTATAAACACATACTTGTTACGGCCGCGAATCATATTTCCTAAACATAGAATCTCACATTGACCTGCAAATTGCAAAAAACGTAAGAAAATTTGAATTTCGCGGGCTACCCTGGCGGTTTCACCTTAATTTAAAACCTTTGAGTTGAATACTCCAAAGTTTAAAACTAACTTCTCAATAAAATGACATTGTGTAACAAATAAGCTCAAGATCCAACTAGCGACATCTATTGAGCGGAAAATTAATAGCATTCACTGCCGTCAGGTTGAATTAGTGCTCGCTTGCCACAAATATTCTAAAAAAAGTAAATAAGTGCGCGGGAGGAATTCTAGTGTCAAAAGTTTACGCGCAAGCAAAGTGACACACACTCGTCCTGACGTAACAGTCTAACCCTTACGTAACAGTCTAACGCAGAAATTTTTCGTCAGTCGAACTGCCACTGCTGGAGCTGGTTCATCTTAGAATTACTTCGATTTCTTAGCGGTCGAATTCGACCGCGGCGCTGTTCCCTCAAAATTCAAGCGGTCCGATTCGACCGCGCGGCACTTTAAACCATTAAAACTTATATTTAGAGACTACTTTTTTATAAAGAAGTTTGGCATTATAGAATCAATATAAAATTTTCTATCCTCTAGTGCAATAAAAAAACAGTTATCCTATGGATATTATTTATAATCTACGTTCATTACGTACGCCATTTTCGCGTGAATGTTATTGTGTTGATTTTTTGGATTTTTCTAGTGTTTTATTAGTGTTTTAGTATAGTGTTTTACAATAAAATTGTAATGAAAGTTTTTGTGTGAATATAATTTATCTTTTTACGTAAATAATTTCGAGTAATATACATTGAAATTATTGTGATTTTCACGCTGCCGACATTCGCTTGGTATTTTTTTCCTTGTTATCAAAATACAATTGTCTTTTTGTAATGAAGTAAAAACTTACTTTTATATAGAGAATTTTGCATAGATTTTATAATGCCAAACTTCTTCATAGAAAAGTAGTCTCTAAATTTAAGTTTTAATGGTTTTAAGTGCCGCGGGTGGGTGCGGTCGCATGCGACCGCTCCGGATTTGCCAGGCGCATGCGACTGCATGGGATTTTTATAGGGCTTGAAGGGTTAAAGAGGTCGGGATGCTATTTTGTCATCTTAGAGCGAGTAGATATTAGGCGTTTTGAAGCGTGCTCTTTGGTACCATGAATTTTAAAAATTCTTTACATCATTCTTTACAATTCTTTACATCTTTACATACAATTCATTCTTTACAAATGGAGATCGAACATTTTTATACGGATTTATTTATCAATGAAATCCAAAAGCGAACAGCTATTAGGGACTCGCCAGCTAACGATCGTCGAACGACATGTTAAGCGCGGTGTATGTATGTACGCTATCAAGTATCAACGCGTGCCTAAGGCGTTGCCCACGCTAGAGCGACTGCGGGTAGTGGAGGTGACCTGCGGAGGCGGGAGGGGTGAAGAAGCTGCAGCATGCCGCTGTAGCTGCAATACTGTAGTTGGCTACGTATAGGCGGCTCCATGACATGTGGTTTCTTCCTGCTATATTCGCGCGGGCTAAAAAATGAGGTTTTCTAAATTGGCAATTTCGTATCTAGAAGGGATTAGTTAATAATTAAAATAGAAGTTCGTAATTAAAATAGGAGGAAACTAAAACAGGTATCAGTTATTGTAGACTGTATGATTAAATACGTCAATACCCAGAAAAGTTTTAAGAAATATATTATCATGCTTATAATTTTCATGCTTACTAGACCATACTGCGGAGCGATACGTTATTTCGCTAATAAACGTTTCCGTATTTATGTTTTGCGTCGTGGAAAAATCAACACGATTTGATTAATACGCAAGACGTGCGAACACGTACTATGTCCACCGCTGGTCGTGGTGGCCTGACGCGCACGCCAGACGCGCCAATGTGACACCTATCGTTCGTCTCGTATTGTTATTTTTGCCGCTCATCGTAGACGCAAGACACGTCACGCTAGCGTGGCACACGGCTAACGCAAAGCCAAGTGCCCAATGTGTACTTGCTCTTAAGGTTAGCGACTAAAAGCGCCCATATCCAGCAGTGGACTTTTACTGTTATCTGGGGGCACGGCAGTGCCCCGCCAAGTCGAGCAAAAGAGCACGGCCGTACCATCCTTTTCTCTTCGTTGTGGATAAAACTAGAAGCTTGAATTATCAGTAACCAAGCTGGTATTGTATAAACACGGTATATTTCAAAAAAAGAATTAATGAAAGATATTTCAAAGAAAGAAAAGAATTATAACTATATAGTCAAAATTTCTTAATTTTGTCACTCACTGACTGACCGATCATCAAAACTCTAAGGCACTTCTAGCAGAGATAGAAGTTTCAAATTTAGAATAAAATTAGTGTTTAGTATATAAATTAAGGAAAAACTAAAATATTTTTCAATTTCATTCCAATTTTCTAAATACACCAACTGCATGAATAACTTTGTAATCCTATATAAATATATAGGATTACAAAGTTACATTTGCATGAATGAATCAGTGTACATGTATATGTATAATATAATGGAATAATAGGTATAGATAGTTGCGTTGTTGGTATTCAAGGAGTAGAAGGTACCGCAAAAGAAAAAAGTCGGTTAATTTATTCCGTCTCTACTTAAGGGTCCCTCTGTTTTAAGTCATTACGTAATTAGCTAACCTAACAACATCTTATAGTGACCACATCTATATTAAAAATCTTTTATGTTTCGAATTGCTTATTTTCAATCTAGTGTAGTTACTTTTTGCGACATATACCAAAATAGACCGATAAGCAGCGAGATATGTCGCGAGTCGATGTGTACATGTTGAGACTTATTCTATTGCACTCGCAACCACACGCAGGATACGCTTGAGAAACTGTCGCAAGTGCGCTAAATAGTACGTACTTTACACCTGCAAGCCACTGTCTGACGGACGCCCAGACACTTCTTGTAGAAGTTTTCCAGCAGGTGGGAACGCAGCCTAACTGGACCAACGTTTGTAACAATTTTCATAACCTTGTACTTTTGAACAATAAAAACTCTTTACTAATAAATACTTTCATTAAATTTCCAAAATACTTTAATAAATTTGACAGATTTTGTCATTTTAATGACACGCACAAAGATGGCGTCCAATAATGGTCAAACTTATATGGTGTCTCACAGCATTTTTTACTAGTATACTTTTATTTCTTTTATTGATGTACACGGGAATTATTGACGTGAAACCAGGTTAAAAATGCTAGTTTCCGAAGCCACCATTGCCGGGGGTGAGATATTGCTGAAAATAATAAGCCCGGAGGGGCAAACATTCACTGCCTCCTTTACCGACGAAACTCTTATTGAGGAAGTGAAAAATCGTGCCACAGATTTCTTCTACCCAAATGGAGAAAATGGAGGGAGTCGTTACAAGCTTATTCGAGTGTTTGATACATCAACCCTACATGATTTCCTAACTCTTGCTCAGGAACAAATCGGGATGCAGGAAGAGATCTTGTTAATTGAAAGAAGAATCCCCGATGCTGGGACGCTGTGGGATTTAGGGACGGTGAGGGCGCCGCAACAAAGTGCCATAGCCGCTGCCACTGCTTCTCTGCCTCCTCCCCAGGCATCAGTTAGGCAACCTAACCTCCAATCATTACTATCTACTAACGAACTGACGTACGAATTGCGAAAAATCTTGATATCGCTTATTGAAGCAGGAGCTAGACTCGCAGCAGCTGGCAGAAATTATGAGTTAACACTTGCTCAATTGTCAGCGGCTTTAGATGAACCACAAAGAACGCAAGTACACGATACACAAGTGATAACGCCCGAAGAAATAGCCGCAAGGTTAAATACGAACCAAAGCGACACTAATAAAGAACCAACGATCGAAACAAATGGAGATATCTTCAAACGCGCCGCTCATTTGCAAAAATTTCTCCAGAAATTCCACGCGTGGAAGTTGAAAATCGCCGAACCACCTAACCCAGAAGCGATCACAGCTTTAAGTGATTTAGGGTTCACGTCAGAACAAGCAGATGAAGCGCTCCGTTGTACTGGGTGCAATGTACCGGCTGCAGCTTCCTGGTTGATTGGGGAGCGGGGCTCGAGTGTCTTTGAACTAGTGAATGGACTTCCCGATGGTGTGATTTTGCAGACTTTGTTGAAACAGCCACAGATTCAAAGGGGCTTACTCAACACGAGAATGCTTATTGCATTCATAGCGATGGTTGGTCAAACTGGCAGTGCAGCGTTATGGCTACATTCACCACACGGCAGTCCGCTTCTCTCGCAGATTTCTCGCACATACCACTCGGAGAAATATTGCCTCGCCGTGAACCAATTTTCAGAAGAGAGGACGCAACAGAATTCAACGCCGTCGACTTCTAGACAAAGACGTTGAGGGCAAATGGTTTGATAAACTATTAACGAATAAAAATATTGCAAAGCCATCGTATTTTATTATTAAAACAATTAAATGTTACAGTTCAAAAGCAATCCGGGTTCGATCCCCGCCAATAAATTTGTTATTGCAATTTTAATTGCTAATTTAACAATAGTATGAATAAAAATATTTATTGCCACACAGTAGTAAGTTTACAAATGACAAAGAATACACATAAGTATAGACTTAAAAAATCAATAAGAAAATTAACATTTACATTTAACAAATTAACTACTATTACTAAATATACGAGTATAAAGTGAGGCAACGAGAACAGACTCAATATTCACTGGGTATTATGCTCAGTACTGATTTTCAACCAGTCCCTGCTGTTTTGGTTATATTTTGGTCGCACGCACATTGTACTTAATTATGTATTAGTGGTAACCCTCATTACAGTTTATATGTGTTAAATAAAAAGACGGTAAATTAAAATATTATCATACAATAAACATAAAGACTAAAGTCATTCGACGTAAAAAGATTTTGTTTATGATATAGGTAACTACTTTTTAATCTTTTCTTTAAATGGTAAAAAGTAATATTGCAAATGCAATATTAAATTAACGTAATAAAATATTAAAATTTATTACGTGCTCGGCGGTGAAGAAAAACTTCATGAGGAAATCTAAATCGAGGTCATGTGAAGTCCACCAACACGCACTGAAGTGGCGAGGCGGATTAATGAGGGCTGATAATCATCCGCCCGCTAGATGTCGCTAGTTGACGCTGTGGTGTAGTTTTTTGAATGACACGTCAAGAAGTTATTTTTAAATAAAATTTAATCATGTTTGCTCATTAATTTTTCCTACGTTTTTAACACTTTTCAATTTTTTCTACTTTTAGGAATACATATGGTTTAGTTTATTTAATTTTAATCTAATTAATAAAATAAAAAAAAAAATATCTTTAATTATCAACCCCATTTAGTCTCTGGTTTTCATGCTTCTCCACAAACCTCTCGGAAATGCGTTGTATGTTGTGGGCTGTATATTGACTTTTATTTTAACTTTTAGTTTTTTTTTTACACGCTGAACAGGCAAACAGAACATGCGGCCTATCTGTAATAAATGTGATCATCCCTAATCATAAATCAACCCACGGATTGACAGCCTGAAATAATAAGGCTCATTTTGTTCTCTTAGGGACCCTTAACAATACTTGAGGTCCGATATCTATAGTTCATAACAGATAGCTTGATCTCTGCGACAGCTGCCTTTTATGAACCATAGTGAAATCTAGGCGTGCTTCAAGGTTGAGTTCCCCAACAATATCCTAAATTTTATTATGTCAAGATTTAGTGAGGAATTGATGAAAATTAGTGACGCGACACTTTTTTGAAGGAATCTGGCTTGAATTTAAGCTAGCAGCCTCCCCTCGTAAACACCGTTATTTTCTGTTATATCGAGATATCATAGATCTGTAATATCGAAATAACTGCCTTATAACTGAGAGGTTATTTGCCGGCCATCAAAACGTGAATTACCATTTAAATATTAACCGACTTTAAAAAAGGAGGAGGTTCTCAATTCGAATTCGATCAGTATTTTTTATGTGTTACCTCAGAACTTTTTATCTAGGTGAACCACTGACCAATATATATACATGTACTTGTATATATAGAGGTCAGTGAGATGAACCGATTTTGATGATTCTTTTTTTATTTGAAAGCTGGTGCTTCTCATGTGGTCTCATATAATCGATCAAGATCTGGCCAGTAGATTTTACTGAGATATCTCATTATATATATATATATATATATATATATATATATATATATATATATATATATATATATATATATATATAATGATATATATAAAAAGCTCCTAATAAATACGATAAATCTCAAACACAACTAAGTTTTATTTATTTTTTCTTTATTTCATTCCTCAATAAGGCGGACTTAATACCTTGAGGCATTATGTCATGCCTTTTAATACTTTGCCTCTCTACCAGTCAACCCATTAAGTTAAGTTCCTCAGTCCTCAAGTGTACACTGGTGTATAAGCCTTAGTCTTTTATAACTTAATTCGTAAAAAGAGATCCCATAGTATTCTTTACAGAAAAGTACCGGAACTGTTCTGGAGTGGAGGCGATGTCATTCACGACAACGGTTTTGGATGCTATGCGCAGCGAGGGCGTACCGTACCCATTGGAGCTGAGAACTACCATTTCCCTCATTCGATGCCAGGTTAGACAACAAACAGCATTGTGGCTTATAAACATTTGTTCTCCTTCGTCAGCCAGCTAAAGTCCACTGCTTGATATAAACCTTTTCCAGTGGCGGATTATCCCAAACTAGGCACAAGTCTATGGGCGCACGGTGAAAAAGGAGCTCTGGCATAAGTTTTTAAACGAAAAATAATTCGTGTATTCGCCATTCACGCTCACCTTATCAGGTTATTCGTGTCCCAATTATTAAACTGTGTTGTAAATTATAATATAGTTTATTTGCAAAATAAGTAGTTATAAATATGGCCGCTAGAGGGGTGCCGATGAGGTGCTAGCCTAGGGCCTAGCAGGACTAGCCTGTCGACATTTAATTCGCTCTGACCTCTTCCATTAGTACATGTGTTAATCATTCATCTCTCGTGACTGAATCATTCCAGTACATTTCGTCCCGCGTACCGGTACATTTGGATCGACTAAAAACAATTCATTCAGATTGTCCGGGATTCGGTCGGTTTTCGACTCATTCACAATTGACACCAATCACGAGTTAAAAATGTTCCGTCAATTGTTTATGATTAGTTGTACCGGAACATTCAAAAACAGATGAATGAGCCATCAATACTTTTTATACCAGCTCAAACGAACGAATCATTCATGATTGACACATGTCTATGTTAGCGGAGTGACGACCACAGCATCAGCATCTTTGTTAATGCTTCCTGTTACCTGTTTGGGTATATACCCGATGGCGGAGGTAATATGTTTATCAGATGTTTGTCCGTTTGTAGCGCTCTAAAGAACAAACGCGTGGGCCGATTTCAATGATTCTTACATCAATCGATTGTCCTAATCTTGTGATATCACTAAATACACGACAGTAATCAAAATTCAATATGGCGACAACCAGACACCGTATTGCCTAAAACAAAAAAATGAAAGTCGACAAATGTCAACTAGGGTATTATTGATAAGGTTTTTAAAAATCGTAGGTATTTAGGTTTCTCTGGTCACTTATTATTTTGAACGACGATTAAGGATCTATAACTATTTAAAGTTAACTAGTGACCATTCTCGCTTAAATTTACAAAACTAATAATAAAGCTGTGATAAAGTTCTTATATAATCGTATATAAAAAAGGTATTATTAGTAATATTTTACGCAGTCAGGTTTATTTAAACAGTATTAACTAACCTTGCTTGTTTATGTCTGACGTAAACGTGATGGCTATACCGCCATCTATCGGAAGGGAATTTTTTTTGTATTTATTGACATCCGTGGGACGCGAGAAAAATCCACTGCTGGAGATAGGTATTCCCCATAGACTGCCTCGTAGCCGGCATTTTGCTATAGTTGTAACGCTAGGTCGGCGGGTTCGCAATCGCACAGTTTATAATATTGAGTTGTAATCAGGAAAATTCTGATGCCCATTTCCCGCTTTGGTTTACCTCTGTCGCCTCTTACGACCATACGGGACGATGTAGGGTAGCATATTCTTGCACCGCCACTACATTTCAACATTTAGCATTCGCTTATTAATATTAATAGTCGGTCGAACACCTACTAAGTGGTAGGACTGCTTTTCTTGCTAGGAGTTCATCTTATACATGTCTTTCATTCATTTCTAGTCGATCATTCATCAAGTATTGATTCATCTTACAAACCGTGCCATTCGGATCGATCATTCAAATGAATACTTCGAGTTTTCACAGTGGTAGAGCCATGCGGCAGCTTTGCTGTCGCACGTATGTGCCGGCTCAAACCGGGGTGGTACCACGACCTCACAGAATACCGGCGTGAAGTGGAAGCTCTGCTTCCGCGTTTCGTCTGGTGAGTGCAGGTGGCCGGAGGCCCAAATCCCCCCCCCCCCCCATCAACATGGTAGCGAAATTCAATGATAGACTACCCCAGGAGGGTACCAGCACCCCTGGAGAATCCCTCGCTGAGCATCCACGACCATGTTTTTCCACTTCTGAGCGTGGGTGCTCAGGCTGCCCCGCGTATTCTGGGGGGGGGGGCAAAATTCCGCTCAAGACTAAAACTGCTCGGGGCAAACGGAGCAACAAGACCAAGGCGACCCCTGCCACGCTGTCCGTGAATTTCTGCAATATCAGGGGACTTCACTCCAACCTAAACGCCGTCCACTACCATCTCGAGACGGCGAGGCCGGCTCTGCTCTTTCTGACCGAGACGCAGGTGTCCTCTCCGGCTGATGTCTCGTATCTCTCCTACCCGGGGTACAAACTGGAACACTCCTTTGTGCCTCGGGCTGGAGTTTGCGTTTACGTCAGAGAGGACATCTGTTCTCGACGCCTCGGCAGACTTGAAGGTTCGGACCTGTCCATCCTTTGGCTACGCGTAGACAGCGACGACCATCCGCGCGTCTACGGGTGCCTCTATAGGTCCCACAGCGGTAATGCCGAAACAGACCGACTCTTCGACCACGTCCAAATGGCTGCAGATTCGTTGCTACAGCAGATCCCCTCCGCAGAGATCGTGATCCTCGGCGACTTTAACGCCCATCACGCCGAATGGCTCGGTTCACGTTTAACCGATCATGCGGGGAGATCTGTTCATGATTTTGCCTTGGCATATGGTCTGACACAACTGGTTACTTCGCCTACGCGGATTCCAGATGTGGAGGATCATGCACCTTCCCTGTTGGACCTTCTGCTGACCTCTCACCCGGACGGATATTAGATTTCCGTCGACGCCCCTTTAGGCTCCTCGGACCATTGTCTTGTCCGGAGTGTGGTGCCACTCACGCTGAAATCGCGGTTGCATT